AGAAAGCAAGCAGATGAGGCAGCTGATGATGATGATGTTAACGAGGAAGAAGCCGAAGCGACGCTCCGCCCGGGTAGTGAACACAAGTCCGGGCTGATGGCAGCGCTTGGATCCGGCATGTACGGGGGACTCGAATTCTATCACACCGATCTGCAGAAAGTAGAAAAAGATTTGTTCAATCGATGTGCTATTACACGAAAATTTATCAATGCGTGCGTATATGGATGCTTGCATGCTGTTCATTTTATCTTATGTTTGAATTAGTAAGTCCGTGGGCCCATCGGTTTATTTATTTCTCCATTATCTTTAAGCCTATTAGCCACAAGTTCGGGACAAATATTTTAATTTCCTCACTTGAAACTTTACATGAATCTCTTTAGTGCTCCAGAGAATCCAAACAGTAACTTTTTAGTGGCAAAATTATGACCACTCATCTTTTTGGTAAAGATGGGAAAATTGCACAAATCGGTTGAAATGATTGGCAGATTTGCGAAGCTAAACTAAAAAGCAAACGTCGTTGTGTACCAGCTTTAAAATAAATAAGATAAGTTAGTTTAAATACAAAAAGGAAAATAATTAAAAAATGAAAAGGAGAAATAGATATTGGTAAAAAATGTGACAAAAGCGAGCAGGATAAGCTTTTAGTTTTGATAAGATAAAATAGGTGTTGTATAGAATTACGAGCACTTGTGGTGGTACTACCCACCAGATTCAAACTCGCCTCAGTCGCTTTATTAAATGTGTAGTGAGAGTAACAATTATTTATGCCTATACACACCCATAAAAATATATATGAATTTAATAGTGCTAAAATAACAGACGTCTTTGAATTTACCAAGTTCACGGTTTTAAACTGGGAATTATGGTAACTACTATGGCAGAGGAAACCGAGCAAGGTGCGCCCAACTAAGTCGCTTTGACAATAAGACCAAATTGCAAAAAAAGTCAACCTAATTATAATTATGAAAATTTAAAAGAAATTTTTCTCTTACCATCTTAATATATTAAATGAGAAGATACAGTATTATCTGTGGAACAATGCGAAAATCAGAGGAAAAAATGTGCACTGTAACCACAAAGGACGATTGGAACAAACCA